AAAGTTGAATAAGAAGAATAAGAGTTCATTGAGCATTTTGGACAAATATCAAACGTAGAAGAAATTAAGTTGTACCAATTTTCGTCCTCCAGGCCGAAGCACATACGCCGGCAGTATTTTTCCAAGTGAAAATACTCTTCTTGTACAAAATTAACTACATCAAAAAGACGCGTGTGCTATTTTTTTAAAAGGAAAATCGCAATTCAGGAAGCAATTCGAAATATATTTTATTCCATATATTTTTTGAGACTAATCGCGAATATACCGATTTTTCTAGAAGAAAAAATCTTTTAAAAAGACAAAACTGTGCACTGACAGTCGAGAAGCTTACAGATTGGCAGTATTTGGTGAAAATTGGTTCGTGTTATTTAATTAAAATAGTGAAATAAGACATTTTAAATAAGCCTACCCTAAAAAGCTTTTTTCAGCAATTGGAGGTTTCGAGGTCTTTAAAAGAAAACAGATATTGCTAACTTTTTACCCTGTTTGGATGGATGGAAAACTGCGCCCCACTTTTTCCATATAGTCTGCGACAAAGACTTGAAACGAATAATTGTATGACTTGCAGGCAAGAAGCGGTTAGAATTTTACTGTGATCTGGATAGCTAATGCTGCTACTGTAGAACTTTTGCTGTAAATTATTTCTCAAACGAAGTTTTCTCGACAAAAAGTCAAGTTTCAGAGAGCTGCAGCTTCAAAATAACACATTTCGCGGAAAAATTATTCCACAGGCATATTAGCACCACAATGATTCTTTTTTTTTCTCGTTTTTTCGGGCGACTTATTGAATGAACTTATGCAGGAACATGCGCCAGGTACCAGTTCAAAAACTTAGTCAAGGAGAAAAAGAGATGTTATATTAAAGCTTGTCAGAATCCACATTTTTCGGTGTGGAAACAATGCAGAATTTTCCTTCCAGTTGACCGAAATTGCGCTTTACACAAAACTCCTTTTCTCGCTGATTATTACAATTAGTGCACATGTCTGATGCAGAGCTTAGTTTAGTACCTTTAGATCTTGTTTATGTGGAGAGGTACGCCTGGGTTTATTGAAAAATAAAATTTCGAAAGTTAAAATGTTTAAACTGCCATTCTGAAGGATTTTAACAGTTGGCAATAGTATCGCTACTTGAAGCATAGCACACATTCGACAGTTATGAAGAAAGTCTGTTTGATGATGGATTTTTTGAAAGTGTTTTTCGATTTTTATACAGACTACGACTAAGCATTTGAAGAGGTGTTCAAAAGAATGATTTGGTGTTTATCTAATCATCATTAAATGCAGATTTAAGTGAAAATTACGGTGTTTATTTATTTTTTTGATACAACCATTCGACGATCATTCTACTTAACTAAAATGTGTTCGCATTCTGACATTAATTTTTGATGTTGCATCATGCTTTCGGCTATCTGCACTAAGTGTTCCTTAATGTCATTTTTGACTGGTCGCAAAATGCATGAATTCTGACGTACCTAGTCCTGAATAAAATACTGTTCTTCTACTCAATAGATCTTAATTGTCACATTCGGTGCTCAAGTATTCAGTTGTGTCCGATTGTACCCCGACCAGTGGAGTTGGTGTATGTTATTCGGTATCGGCTCACTGGTTTGGCAGCAAGTGTTGAACACAATACCAATGAAAGCGCTGAGGCAGTGTTTCAGTCGCTTGGCACTATGCTGTCGTAGACGTAAATCGAAAGCGAAAGACACGCCGAAGAAGGAAGACGAAGATCAGGAGTCAAGCAAAGACAGAGAAACGGGATCCATTCAACCAAAACGACAGTCTCTTCCCGCTGCATCCTACGATACAGTCGGCGAATTGACTCGATCTACATCTATTACAAAGACACCAATAACGTTGTCGAAAGTGTTACTGAGGCGAACCGTTCATCGACTCGAATCACAGGTAAACGATTATTCGGCTACTGACTTAGTCAGGCTACTGCGATAACTACACAGAATCATAGAGTTCAAAGCGTATGAAACATACGGAATGAAGAATTTTGCCACCGTAAAGAAATTATCGTCATCTCTTTCCCGACGATTGATTTCCTCTTGACAAAAAAGTACATACATCCCTGTGAAATAAGCATATCTTCCATTCGACAGCATTTCCCATGCACTAAAAATCGCATAAAAATTGGTAATTAATCGTGCGCTTAATCCCGAATAATTGCCGATTTTTTGGTGATTTTCAGATGATGTCAGCGATTAATCACCATTAATTAACGATTTTTTTCTAGGTACTAGGTTCTAACCCATCTTAGGAAATACATATTTTTTTCTGTTTTTTCATTCTTTATTATGTATAATAACACATACTTCACCTAGCAACGGTCTTAACATCAGCTGAACTTGGAGCCTTTCCGACGGGTTGATTTTAAACATTATCCAGATACCAGCTTTTCACTGGGCTCCTCGGCTTAAAAGTCTAAGGGATCATATACAAGACTCTTGACAACTCTGTTTTACCCTAAAATAAAAAGATGATCTCAATAGAACTGTGTTTCCCGTTGATATAGTGTTTCTTATATACATACCTTACTGCAAAATAAAACAGTGAATAACAATAATCATTTTAATCGCTTAAAATCAACAATTAATCGCAATTAATTGACGATTTTGAAAAAAAGTAAAATCATCGAAATCCCCAATTAATCTGAATTAATTTGCGACTTTTCAAGAATCGCGATTAATTGTTAAAAATGCCGCGATTTCGTCCACCTGGGTTTTCATAAAAAGTATTTTTAGGCACGATTAAGCCAAGATTTCGGTTACAATTCTGAGGAGGTATACTTGTTAAGTTCATATTTGTTTTTG